TTACACATCCATCATCTCGTTTCAAAGTTGCTAGTCAATCTGACGATACAGGTCGATTTGTTGAAGATTTTCGTACATGGGAGAATAATTCCTATTATAAACAGTTTATATATGAATCACCATGTGCTGCAGTAGCAGGACTTCTTATGGAGAGTTCAATAAGTCGACTTTATCATGATCATTTACTCGTAAAAGAAGTAAACACGAAACAAATCACTCCATGGCATCAAGATCAACCTTATTATAACATTGAAGGGAATCAAACGTGTAGTTTCTGGATACCTGTTGATCCAGTTTCTCGTTATTCAACGCTCGAATTTATTGCTGGATCACATCGTGAGGGTCGTTGGTTTATGCCAAGAACATTCATGAATTCAGAAGCAAAATGGTTTCCCGAAGGGACACTCGAAGAAATTCCTGATATTGAGGCTAATCGAGACGCATTTCCCATCATTGGATGGTCCCTTGAACCAGGCGATGTCATCGCTTTTCATATGCTTACTCTACATGGTGCTCGAGGAACAATGGTAAATGAAGGTCGTCGGCGAGTTTTTTCTGTTCGTTTTCTAGGTGATGATGTAAAACATTCACCAAGAACATGGGCCACATCACCAGACTTCTCGGATATTACTCAACAAATAAAACCTGGTGCTTCTATGGATCATCCACGTTTTCCTATCATTTGGAAGGCATCACAATAAATAAATATGTAAAAACTTTCTTTTCGTCTATTTTGCATATTAGCATTACTCTAATGTCGGAAGTCTTCCTGAATAACTTCTTTTATTTTTCAATGATTGAGAAATATTATTAAAAAATGAATATCCGATATTTTAATAATGTGTAACATGTGTAGATGTTTGTCTAGTTTTTGAGAAGTTATATGCCTTGAATTGAACCGTTTGATGAAAACATGTTCTTTTATTAGTGAAATATTTTATAATTTGGATGAAATAGTTTTGAAAAAATTTATTTATTCATGAAAATATTTATTTTTTAAATTATTGAAAAGTTAAAAAAAAAGAACAATGCTACTAAGTTACACAGTCAAATATCTTTTTTTTAATAACAGAAAGTAAGTTTTTTTATATTCAAACTTGTTCTTCTCTTGCATGATAAGAAAAGTAAGAAGAATAAAATTCTTTGTTTATTTAATTAATCGTTTTTTTT